CTGTCAATCAAGTGTGCTGTTGAATGAATCTTGCGGAGGTTTACAATATATATATAGATCACAATGTGTTTTGAGGAAATATATTGTCTTATTGTATTTATGTATAGTAAAATGAACCAAATACATCAAGATGATTTTTTTTTATACAAATTATTTTTAATAATGAAATCAAAATGGTAATTTACTTTAAACCCAGTTTGTGGTACCTAAAGTGATCGATTGCATACTAACTTTAACTTACAGGGAATACGAGGCACATTACTTTAGGTTTAGATATCCATGATGGACCCAATATAACACTTTTCCTATGATTTAATTGTAATGATATGGTTTTTACATTTTTCCTTGAATTTGTACTATGAAACATTGCTACATACTAGCCAATTTTTTGATTATTAAAATATGCATTTGCAGAGTAAATAAACGAATCTTTTATTCATGTTAATTTAGATGTTTTTTTACTGCTTCAAGGAACTGTAATTTCCGAAATAATCTCAACAGAGATATAAACAGACGGCTTTTAAGCTACGGAACCCTAAAAACAGTGATAGATTAATACTCACACAAATTAAAATAAAATTAAGATGTATTAGATACTAACAGTAGAACCTTATTTATATTTTTTTTTCGATTATTCACCTATTATTAAAATTCATGTTCCTATTTTCACAGTGATTTAATTTTTCAAAAAATAGATTCGACATCGAACTTGTACTAAATAATACTAACTTTCAATAGCAGTTTCTTGAATAATGACGTCGTTTTTAAGATAAGTATTATTTCTTACTTTTTTTAAATTATAAAGTAAGTTCTAATTTTTGTAAAAAGTAAATAAATTATGAAATTAGAGGCATTCAAAATACACTTTTGTTTTCTTCGATGATATAATTTTATCATATATGTAATATTTGGGTATTTATTATTCAGTTATCTATACTAATATTATAAAGAGGTAAGATTCAACAAACTCCTCCTCCGAAACTACGGAGCCGATTTTAAAAATTCTTTCACCAACGAGTAGCTACATCACAGGCTATAATTTACGCGTGCGAAGTCGCGTGAAAACAGCTTGTTCATGATATTTTGAAATTTAATGAAAAGTATTTAAATGCACATAAACCAGGATATCTTAAAACTAAGCTAAAAACCTCATCTAAAATGAAAAAAATAGTAAAATGTCGCCCACAACAATTAATTTTATTAACTGATTATTGCTGCTTTGTTTTGTTGGAGCAATGTACTCTTTAAGGTAGATTTTTTTGTGTTTTATGTGTAAAACTAAGTAAAACATAATTATAGTTTACTAATACCAAACCAACATCAACTAGACAATGTTCGAAACGATGTTTAGATATTTTTTATGTGGCCATGAACTAGTACGGAGAGACGCTTGCGGAATAATTTCTCCATCGTCGGAGTCGGTGCACTGGCCAAGTAACTAATATAAATAGACAATCAACGATTCAGAGGTCAGTTACAACCGGACTTCCTATCGTTTCATACATACAGTGGCAACATGAAGGCACTCTTTATCATAGGAGTGCTATGCCTCGTGGTTCTCGCCACTGCCCACAAGGGCCACCACCACGAACACGGTGGTGGTCACGAGCACCATGCACACCATCACCACGACCATGGTGGCAAGGGACACAAAGGACATCATCACCACCACCACCATCACAAGGGTGATGAGGGACATCATGGCAAGCATCATCATGAGGGCCATCACCACGAACATGGCGGCGGTCACAAGAAGCACTGGGATGAGCACGACCACCATGGCGAGCACCACGAGCACGGCCACCACCACAAGGGAGGCAAGCATGGCCACCACGAGCATCACGATAAGGGAGAGCACGTTGATGGATACCACAAGAAGCACCACAAGGACCACTTCCACAAGGACCATCACTTCCATGACGGCCACCACCACGAGGGCAAGCACCACAAACACCACCACCATCACGGACACCACGAAAAGCATGGAGGACACCACAAGAAGGGTGGCCACCATCACGAAGGACATCACGAAGGTCACCACGGACACCACGGCCACCACGACAAACATCACTACGACGAGGACCACCACGGACACAAGGGCCATCACGGACACGAGGAACACCACCACGGCCACCACGACCACGGCAAGAAGGGCGAACACGAACACCACAAGCACTGGGGCCACCACCACGGCAAACATTGAGCATTATTTGTTTGCTGACAATTGTTACAAATTATTTTTAAGAATGGAAGTTGTTATTGTTTTTGTTCATATTTTTTATACGAAGTAAACAATCAGTATTACATAATACGGTTATTTCTCATTATTTTTAATTCAAGATAACTGTTAAATCTCGTATTTTCTATTTAAATACCTAAACAGAGTGATAAAAATGTAGTTAAAATCAATATGATGCAGAGGGGTAGTCCAAAATCATAAAAGACAGTAATGCGAATCAAACTTGACTTAGAACTTAGATATATAATATAATCAGTAGTACATTTATTTTAGGGATTTCATAGACCTCAAGCTTGACTTTCACTCAACTAAGCCTTGAAATTTTGAAAAAAGAAAGAATATTAAAATACGTACCAGTATATCGGTGAATTTTTCATGGAGCTTCTTATTTTTTTGGGATTTGTGAATAGGGTTTAAAAATGAAACTAAACAAACATGATGAAAACATCTAAATTTTCCTTTTTTTGTTTAGTTCCCAATGTTCCCATTTTTATGCACCATCAATCCACTTACCATTGTAAATATCGCGACCCTTAGCATCATATTAATAATGCCCTACACTGTTCACTACGTGTCTAAATTTTACTAAAACCAATTTGAAATGATGTTACAGATTAATTGTAGGACTAAAAGAATAAAGCAGCTATGTGAACATGTGGATTAGACCTTAGATTCAATAGATAAAAACTGTCAGTTCAAACAATCTTTACTGCAACTTGAAATCACTCAAAACGTTAAAGGTGTAAATACTCGTCCTTGTTCCAATTATTAATTATTCATATTGTTAGCAATTAATAATGAATTCTATAATCCCCAAATATCTGTTTTAAACATAAAGTGGAAACAAAAAAGAACATTTTGTGCATGTACCTTAGGTACTTGTCTCTACTTACAAACTAAAAAGGTACTATTATAGATATGAGAATCAGTTTTAAGCTTTATATATATTATAAAGACTGAGTACCATAAAATGTTATCCTACCACAATATAATCGCAGCAGTGAGACACAGCAACCCAGGTTTCAGGTAGAGTTTTTAAAGCGATTACTTACCATATTATATTAGGGTATGTATACACAACAAGGCTGCTCGTGTGCCAATATCTCGCGAAGCAACGTCAAGCGTCACGATGTGGAGAAAAGTGTTTGCCTAGCGACCTTTCGACTACTGCTAAAGCTAGCAACCTTTTTAAAGTGGACACACGTCCTTATTGTTTCACTCCATCCTTAGGATATATCTACGTAAGAATCAATATCCTGCCGTATTTTTATCGTAGGTAATAAATTATAGATAAAACCTATTTATATCATAATAAAAAAGCACAGAACATACTCACTATACAATTCTGATATTCAAAAAACATAATTTCAAAATGGTGTATACAATGTGACAAATAAGCAACCAGTTATCATAATTATACTTACTCTAGGTATCAATGTAAATATTTAAAATATCTCATTGATTTTTTTAAGCAGCACAAGTAAGTTTCCATTTTATCCCATAAGAACATAATTTTCAATCACTAATATAAGACACTGAAACTGTAATTAATTTCATTGGTTTCTAATTAAAATTAATTTGCGCCCGCGCTTTAGTCTTGAAATCTAAATCAAATTAGGTTGTAAGATGAAATCTCAACCATGACGCACGTTCTGTGGTCATGGTCAATTTTTTTTTGCATACTAGTGTCTCCTCTTTATGTCGACATTATGAAAATAAGATTTTATCAGTGTACGTACATATCTGAGCATGTAGTGCGTATATTATATTTTCTTTCTTTTATTTGCGCAGATAATCTTATTGTGACTTTTTAATTTTGAAAAAAGATTGCATGTCAATTTCAGTTTGAGTTTTTTAAAATAATAAAAACAAAAGAGGTATCTATTAAATTAGAAAATAATTTGTATTAGCGATAGCTAGAATGAACGTTAATTACTCTTTTATTTAACCAATCAAGTCTTAGCTGATAATTGTTAGGCACGCTTATTTCTAAGAAATAATGGTTCTGCAACCACAGACCAAGAACGTTTCAATTAACTAATTTATAGATTTCACTTACCTACGTGAATTTGGTACATAACACAAAAATTCTTTTATATATTAATTAAAATAAGCAATTCTTAATAAATAATCTGAATGTCGGAAACGGCTCCAAAGATTTTTATGAAATTTCGTGTATTCATTTGCCAAATGAATAATTTTGAAAACTGATCATCCAGGTACATGTTATAAAGTGAGTACATACTCGTAGTAGGTAAATAAGCGCACGGAGTGGGATAAAAAAATCAAAAATAATAACTTACACATTTCTATTATTGTAGCTGTTTTCCCGCGTCTTCGCTCGCGTAATCATAGCCTGTGTTGATGATGATGTAGATTCCCATAGATAAAGAAGTTTTAACTCGGCCCCATAATTCAGAGTCTATTCAATTCAAGTAAACAGACAAACATTCAAATATTAACTTAGTAGATACAGGAGGGATCACAATACATTTTTATCCGAATAAAATTGCGTAAAACACTCGTCTATAATTTACTTTTGTGTAATCAAATATTAAAATAATTTATTTATCTTTTGTACTTGCCGGACATATTTTAAGTTTGTTTAGCCGTATTATTGTTTATGAAATTAGTTTTAAAAATCTAGATTTACAAATAAAAAAGAACACTAATATGTATATAATAAGCAGAATTTTAAGTTAATTGTTAAAAATAATGACCACTTACAACAAATCGACTTCCTCATCCGCTTTGAGAAAGGATGCTACGTCTCTGCCGCGTCCCTGAACTAGCTCCGTTGGACAGTTGCGGAATAATTTCTCCACCGTTTGTACTCGGCGCATTATCAGGTGACTAATATAAATAGGCAATGAACGATGAAGAAGTCAGTAACAACCGGACTTCCTATCGTTTCATACATACAGTGGTAACATGAAGGCACTCTTTATCATAGGAGTGCTATGCCTCGTGGCTCTCGCCACCGCCCACAAGGGCCACCACCACGAGCACGGTGGTGGTCACGAGCACCATGCACACCATCACCACGACCATGGTCACCACGGTCACAAGGGCCACAAAGGCCACCATCATCATCACAAGGGTGATGAGGGACATCACGGCAAGCATCACCACGAGGACCATCACCACGAACACGGCGGCGGTCACAAGAAGCACTGGGATGAGCACGACCACCATGGTGAACACCACGAGCACGGCCACCACCACAAGGGAGGCAAGCACGGCCACCACGAGCATCACGATAAGGGAGAGCACGTTGATGGATACCACAAGAAGCACCACAAGGACCACTTCCACAAGGACCATCACTTCCATGACGGCCACCACCACGAGGGCAAACACCACAAACACCATCACCATCACGGACACCACGAAAAGCATGGAGGACACCACAAGAAGGGTGGTCATCATCACGAAGGTCATCACGAAGGTCACCACGGACACCATGGTCACCACGACAAAGGACACCATGACGAAGGTCACCACGATCATCATGGTCACCATGGACATCACGAACACCACCACGGCCACCACGACCACGGCAAGAAGGGCGAACACGAAGACCACAAGCACTGGGGCCACCACCACGGCAAACATTGAGCAATCGTTTGCTGATGACTGCTTTTTTATTGTTAGTAGTTTGTTAAGATTGGATATTGTTATGTTTTTTATACTTATACCCATGAAACGTTCAAACATTAAAAAATAGAAAAGTGAAATGCTCTCGTTTGAATTTCAAGTGATCACCATTGGCATAGTAACATGAGATTAGAGAAACAAATAAGTTGATAAAAATTATTCTGCTTCAGGCTGGATGCAACCAGCGGTTGTACCTTACCCCACATTGTACTTCCGCATTCATCGCGGTCTCCCATCTCAACACGGGCAAGTGTTATCATTCAATTATATCAAGTTAAAACAATATTAACAAGTATAATAATCATAGCAAAAATCACAGGTAAAAAACCACAGACATGATTTGCACGCAGACGCATAATATATATTTTTATTAATAATGTTTTTTAAAATCAAAACAGCTCCAAAAAAGTTTAAGAAAAGTAAAAATTTTAATTTATTGAAATCAGGGGGAATAGTGTAACAGATTACGTTAAAATAATACTAGAAACTAAAGTAACTATAGTAAAATATTTTTGAATACAAGTTTTTTTATGTTCGTTAAAATATACTTAAATTACTTTGCTGAATTAAAATACGTCAAAAATAGTGTCGGTATTATTTTTCTACAAAATAAGAAACTAGTTTCCATTTTGTTTATTCAGTGACTTCTAAATAATGATAATAACACTTTATGTAAAGTTTAAAGCTCATGTTGTCCAAAAGCGTTATAAAATTTTCACATTTTTCAGACTTACAATATTTTGCTATTTTTTTCTTATAACCACAGACAGCTTTACTGTTTTAATCGTATTAGCCTTTCCCCGCGACTTCCTACGCGTGGTGAAGCTACTTCAATAACAAACTCCATAAATTGTCATCTCTTATTTCAACCCTTTCAACCCTTTTGTTGAAAACTTCATTAAAAACGGATCAGTAGTAATAAATAGTAGTAAGAAAATTATGGCAAATCAATAAATGAATAAAGAATTATTGGACATCCAACCATGAAGTATACAAATATATGTTACAAAAATATGTTTCATATAAAACTTCAAGCTTGTAACAATAATATTGAAAACATTAATCAAACCAACAATAAAATGAAATTATTTTATAAAAAAAAACAATCATTTTACCATTTTTAGTGATAAAGACATAACCAATTTTAGTCAAACTGAAAGCAATTTTTCGCGGTAGGATGTTGTTATTGATGAAATAAAGTATCGACGTCATTGAACTTACATGTAAAATAACAGCTGAATCGGTTAGAGGGTTCCGTATAAATGGTAATATAAATATTTTCTGTTTTTCTAAGATTTCGTACGAAAAAAGAAAAGAAATATCCACGATATCCTTATTATAGGATCACTTGGTTGTCTGTGTGTCTGAATTGAATTTTAATACACTTATGACATAGTGAGTGAACTCGTTATTCATTATGACCTGTGAAACTGATATTGTTGTTCCTTCTTTTTTGCCTTTTTGTTTTGTTTTTGCCGTTTGGATTTTTTGAGTTTAGTAAAATATTATAGGATTGTGCTCGTTAAGAGAAAATACAGGTTTCAAATATATGTTCGGAAGATATGAACAATTTTAACTTATAAATATTTAACAAAATAAATTTGATTTTGAAATGTTGAAAAAATAGGGAAAATATATTTTTTTAAATTATTGAAATACACGACATCAAATTACTTACATAAAACGTTACAACAGCTATAAACATAAACGCACAAATAAATAAGATATTACAAATATTGCCAGACGCCCAAATATTTTTCACTACCGCAGAAAAAAGACGTGACGTCACTTCGTAACTTGTAGGTAGGGAGCATTATTTCTCAGATATTAATGGACTATTTATTTAACTAAAAAAGTAGCCCATTTTTTTTTAAGATTGCCATTCTTAAGATTGCTTATTGATTAAAGAAAACATAAAAATTAAAAAGTCTTAACGCGTGATTTGCTATCCTCTGTCTTATCCAGGGTTGGCCCGATATAGATTAACTAGGCAACTGTTCAGTTTGCTCTAATTATTTGAGCCATAAAAATTACTTTTATCCCTTATTATTAGTCTTTTATTGTTATGATTTTTAAGAGCGTTCCAGTATTTGGGTAGGGCTATAAGTTTCATCGAGCCGGCCTATCCCTATCTATCTTAAGGCGAGATTGTAAGAAATTTTCAATTTTTAGACCAATTTTATTCTAAGGTTAAACCAATATTTGCCAAAAAAAATATTTTTTTGAAAATTAAACATGATTGATGGCTACTAAAAACAGAAACATACATTTCAATAATTAGCTCGATGGAAAAAAATCGCTATAAATAAAAAAAATTGGATCGATTTAACGACTAATATATTTCATCTTAATTATATACAAACACATGTTTTGATATAATAAGTATACAAAAGTTTTTTACTGCATTTTGTTTTTGTAATTAAAAATGTATGAAATCTTTAGTCTCGATGCATATTTGTATGGGATCGTAAGCGGACGTAAGAACCTTAATAGTGGAAGTAGAGCAGCGTCATTCTATCTTGAAATCGACATCAAGCACAACACTATCATAGCATAGAGAATCAATTGTGTAAAACCTACTTCCAAAGGTAATAAAGGTTTTATTCCATTGAATAATATCTTAACACTCCACTCGACGTCGAGATCGAACATAGCTGGTACATTATGGTAGAGTGGCCCTTTGATCCTTGCGTATTGCGTATTCCTGTCAATTGTGAATAACTAATTTTCATGGAAATTAACCAGTGACATATATTGAGACATAACAAATTCCATAAAGCGAATAGTTATGTTATTTAGGTACTACATAGGTAACCTTTTTTATAAAATCATGCATCTTTGAAATAGACTGGAATTTTCTTTACAAAGTTTTCCCTTATCACAGTTAGAAAGTCCAGTTGTATTTCTCCTTTTGTCGCTAAGAGTGAGTCACAGAAATGGAATTTTAGTGTTTCAGTTCATATGTAACTTTCACAAAATTACATTACATTTAAGGCCGAGCTTGTTCTTTTTCTTTTTACTCATTGATTACTAGTTTTGTTTCTATTACTAATAAATGATACTTAATGTTTATATTAGTCTTCAACTCTTTAATATAATCATTTTCTTATCAATAGAAGCTAAAAATACTCTCGATGAAGCCATCAAAATTATCTTTCAGTGCCCGTTCGTTTGAGACCCCACTCGAGTATGTTTGCAGACTTTCGGTTATTCTCCCCCATTTTCAGCCCCCATTACTTTTAAACGGCTCAACCCATTTTCATCAAACATGTCTAAGAACACTCGCACATAAGTCACATTTGATACAAAACTAAATTGAAATCGCTTCATCCGTTCGGAAGCTGTGATGCCACAGACAAACAGAAAGACACGTCAAAAAGAGGCTGATAATCCTGACATTCAAGTCGATCGAGCACAACTCATGTGGAGAAAGTTTAAAAATTACGCTCTAAAAAGTTTAAAACCAGAAATTTGTTTTATAACGATAGCTATATTATAATAGCGATGATCAAAGGGCAGTGTAGTCGTATGCCACTGATCATAACAAAAACAACGTGCATTTAAGCAAAAGATATCAATAAACTTTATGCTCTCTAGACTTAGAGGGCGCTATTGCCAATTTAATGTAACGTCACATAGACTATAGCACGCGGACAACTAAGATGCTTCTGATGTCCATTTACGATAAGTAGTTTCGAAATTATAAGGGAACAGATGAACATTCTCACATACATACCGGCCAAAACCATAACCCTCATTTTCGCTTCGGCGCCGTCGGGTAAAAAACAAGCTCGCTCATTAGCATTTTTGTCAACCTAATTTGCTTGAAGCTGTCAATGTCAATAGCGATGATGACTAATTCTTGTTTGTCTGTCCATCAGTTAGATTATTGAAGGATATCAAACACGTTTTTTTTTTAAATTATTTGCATAAGCAATAAATTACGCCGATACATTGGTTTAAAATTATCAGTTGTCGTAGCGGGCTTAACTTTAATGCTTGTTATCTAAGTTACTTCTTGTTAAATTGAAGCAAAAAAGTATATATTAATAACTGACTGACGGGCTTATTAGAATTTCTTTTATTTCATCTAGGCGTCATCACCATTGTTAAATACTAGCTGTTCTCGAGAGACTTCGCCCGCAGCAAATAAATACTTTTGTTGTATTACTGTTTTGGAAAAGTATTTTTAATCTTTCACGTGATCATATTAAACCACTATCAGATATTTTTCTTCAAAAAGTGTAATTAAATAAATAAAAAACCTATGTTTATTAATTAATTTAAAAAAGTTACAATAATACGTTGCACTCGCAACTTTACCTACGTTTAGTTTATTGAAATGTGACGTCACACCATGTTCCATCATGGCCAGCGTTTAGGTTCTTGTAATCCAACGATTCGAATCGTAAGTTAATTTTGGTAAAATAAAATATACTAACAATTAATTTAAAAACAAAATTTCGTTTCCATATAATCAAATCTTTCCTCATTATAATTTAAAATCTTTATAATATTAGTATATATAATTTGTGTTTCATTCAAAATAGCATACCACATTTGCTAATAATTTTGTGGTATATATTTTATTTAAATAATTTATTAATATCAGCATCAGCATAACATGATATAGGAAAAACCCTCATCAACAACCCTGGTTCGCACGCCGGTTTCATGTTGTCGCCATCTCTGAGGTCCAGGCAGGGGCGGATCTACCTAAGGACTTAACGGAATTCAGCCCAGTGCCCCGTGGATACAAAGGGCCCTCCAATAAAAACAATATACAATATGTTGCAGTTTACGAAAACAGTTTCTTAACAAAATTAAAACTACTTCAGTAATTTTTAGGCCCCAGAGTCACGCAAAGTCACGATCGGCCTCTGGGTCCAGGGGGTCAATTCTACTAAATAAATTTTGTTTAAATCGAATCAAAAACGGATCGAAACCGAACGAAACTACAGTTTTTAATGGTTTTTCTATTCTACAAAGTGACATATGATACAATTCCAATTCTATTTTAGCTGGAATTGTATCGTATGTCACTTAGAAGAATAGAACGTTTTCGTTTTCGATTCGATTTTAGCAAAATTTATTTAGTAGAATTGACCCCTAGGGTTCGATTCCCGGTTGGATCACGTATTTAACTAACAGAATTTTAAAATCTTGGCACTTTACTACTCATTTTTTAATTATATATTAATAGAACCGGCGAACGATATTCCGCCTAAGAAATTTAAAAATATTTATATTAACTTTTTGGTTACGTCTAACGGTCATTGGATGTTACAATTTGGGATTTAATATAAAATTAAAAAAAAAACAAAAATTTTATGTCTTTTATAATTATCACAAATGTTAATAAAATTGGAATACTTATTACCGACGAAGATAAATCCAAATAAATAAATATCATAAGAAACGGTCCAGCCGTTTTCGAGTTAGAAATGGAGTAACTAACACGACTTTCTTTTATATCTGAAACCTTCTAAGTCTGTGAAATACTATGCTGAAAACCGCATCAAATCCGGTTCAGCCAAAAGCGAGATAATTCGCACAAACATACATACTTACCAGTAAACCGAGAATCTCCGTATTTTGGAAGTCGGTCAAAAATGCCTTTCATCGGTCCAGAGTTGTTTCTAAAAAAATATGCTGAGATAAACGGACAGACAGACAACTGAGTGACTTGTATGGGTCCTGTTTTCTTTTTTTGGTACGGAACCCTAAAAACGCCGTTGCTCGTAGATATTTTTTTTAATAGAACATAACGAAAAATATTATATACTGGATAATAAATAAATTCTAATTATGGAAGAAATAAGAAGAAGTTTAGAAACCTATACGCTATTTTTCGTTTAAAAATACTCAAGTCTATATGTACTTATGTTCAGACTAGCTTTCCGCCAGTGGCTTCGCTTATGAGGTCCTGTATTGTAATATAAAAGTTTTACTTCTTGAATCACTCTGTATATGGATGAAAACGGCATTAAAATCCGTTGTGTAATTTAAGATGTCAGCAAACAGACAGCGGGAAATTACTTTGTTTTATATTATGTGTGTATAGATATAGAAAATAACACATGAATGTCAAAAATCAATTTGACATTTGTTTAGCTGTGCCCATTAAACCTTAAAATGTATTCAATATTGTCAATTTTATTATTTAATCGACAGATTGACTTTAAAAATGGTCTCCGTAGCAGAGCTCGCACGCTGATTTCAAACTGTCGCCATCTACGAGGGCACGAGTTCGATTCTCGATCGGGTCAATTTAGTCAATAAAGTTTTCTGTATTGTCTCGCGTTTGGGTGCTATTGTACCTTCGTTGTTTCAGATACTCCATAATACGAATTCATTAGAGCTCTTGGTATCTGATGTTATCAAAGAATTATTTATAATTGTTCATAAACAAATACTTATGTTTATTTATTATTTATAACCCAGTTCGCACACAAACTTACTCAGCCAGAGGAGCGAGGCCATGTTGTGTTAGTAAAATGAATAGGCTTGTGTAAGTAACGCATAAAAATTTAAACCATTTTTTGGCAGCATCGTGCTACTTATGATTACCTACCCCTTACCCTTATCATCGTGTTATAATTATATATGAACAAAGGTAAAAATTAGGCCTATAAAATGTCGCAATGATTATGCACCGTAATTAAGCGGAACGCGTACCGATCTCTGTCCTTGCCCGTTGGTTTCACCAGCAACCCGCAGTTTATAGATATAAATGCTCTCTCGCACTATGCAAAGTTAGTTCGACCCTAGTAACCAAACAGAACGAATGGTACAAGCAGTCATCATGAGGACGCTTATCGCACTTGCTGTGCTAGGATGTATATTAGTTAGTTGTTCGGGCCGCGAGATCGGTCAGAAGGAGGACCTAGAGGTGGCTGCTAGCCATCATAAAGGGCACCACCATGAAGAAGGTGGCGGCAAAGAGCATCACGCTCACCACCACCACGAACATGGGCACAAGGGCCATAAGGGACACAAAGGACACCACCACCACCACAAAGGCGACCACGGTGAACACCACAAGCATCACCACGAAGGCCACCATCATGAACACGGCGGCGGCCATAAGAAGCACTGGGACGAGCATGACCACCACGGGAAACATCACGAGCACGGCCACCACCACAAGGGCGGCAAGCACCACCACAAGAAACACCACGACAAGGGCGAAGAAGTCGAGGGTTACCATAAGAAGTACCATAAGGACGAGTACCACAAAGACCACCACTTCTACGATGACCACCATAAAGAAGGCAAACATCACAAACACGGCCACCACCACGGACACCATGACCATAAGGGAGGCCACCACAAGAAGGGAGGTCACCATCATTCCGGCCACCATGAAGGCCACCACGGAAAGCACCACCACCATGACAAACACCATCACGACGAAGATCACAAGGGACACAAGGGCCACCACGGCCACGAGGAACACCACCACCATCATCATGACCATGGCAAGAAAGGTGGCCACGATGACCACAAGCATTGGGGATTCCATCATGGCAAACATTGATCCTCCTACAATTAAGATATTATTTGTTATATCTGTTTTGTTACCTCTTTGTAAATAAATGATACTTGACTGAAAACTGTTATTTATAGCACCGAATCAAAACATTCATTAAATAGGACGCCGGAGAGAAATTATAATGTTCACAATAATTGGGTCATTGTTGCCAAACTCAAATCAATGCCGAAATAGGAATTTCTTTTTAACCACCTCTTTAAGTCCTATTGTAATACACAACGTACACTGTACCCAAATAATATTTATTCACAAACTTAATTAAACAGCACGCATAATGTTCGTTTAGAATTGTCAAATAAATAAACAAAAATATAAAAATAATTGACCATGCCCATTATTAGCTCTCTAACGGAACTAATTGTGTTGGAGCGTGGAGCGATGTCGTCAGACTACCGTCGCAGTCACTCGCCCAGAAATCAGCAGTAACTATTGCCAAAGATCGCTCTGTAATCGACGACAGATGAAAGCGTTGTTATCTATAAATTCAAAGTGCGGAAACTCTTGTGTCACTTTCGGTCGTAACTTCTAAGAATCGGGTACCTCGATCAACCACGTAAGTTTCATTTTTTGATATGTTTAATAAATATATTGTCTGAGCTACTGAACATTGTTTAATAGTAACCTATCGTTATCCTTTTATTTTTCAGGATATGAGGCTCCTACTGTTGTTACAACTGGGGGCATGTGTGCTAATATCCACAACAGCTCGCAATTTAAGTGATGCAAAAGGCGAAAAGAGTGTTCAAGATGTTGTCGCGGTAGTACCACCCACAGGCGGCGACGCAGTAGTAGCCGCAACTGTGGTAGACCAAGCTTCAGCTGGAACTGAACACAAGAAAGCTAAAGACAGCCACCACGAAGAAGGTGGCGGCCACGAACATCACGCGCATCACCACAAAGAGGAGGGAGAGAAGGGTGACAAGGGTTACAAGTCACATCACCACCATGACAAAGGAGAGCACGGGCATCACGAAAAACATCACCACGAAGGACACCACGATGAACACGGTGGCCATAAGAAAAAGCACCATGATGAACATGATCATCACGGTGAACATCATGAGGCCGCACACGGACATAAAGGTGGTAAATTTGGTCACAAAAAGGGGCACAAAAAAGGTTCCAAAACTACCGGTTTCCACCACAAATCGCACAAAGATGAATACCACAAGGAGCACAAGTTCTACGACGACTTCCATAAGGGAGGACACCACCACAAGCATGGGGACTTCCACGGGCATCACGACAAGAAAGGAGGTCACCACAAGAAGGGAGGACACCACGAAAAGGGTCATCACGAGAAACACCATGGCAAAAAGGGTCATCACGACAAAGGGCATTACGACGAAGACCACAAAGGGCACAAGGGCCACCATGGACACGAGGAACATCAGGCCCACCACGAGGAACATGGCAAGAAGGGCGGACACGCCGGCGGCAAGGAACATGGATACCATCACGCAAAGAAGGCTTAATTCTACAACAGTGGCAGAATTTATTTTACCTAGCCTTCTTGCTTATTATTTCTGTTTGAAACGAGTCATTTTTTTATAATGGTAATTTTTGTAAGTTAATTATTTAATTTAAAATTAGGTGGTACCTACTTAGCATCTAAATTTACATTAGCAAATACCTTATTTATTGGATTTGCACAAGTTGTTATACTTAACTACAGTGCATCTTCCTTGGTGCACGCTTTGTTATTGTTGTTGTTGCCTAATGTTGAAATAATAATGAATTTATATTTATGTTATATTTTCTTTTTTATATATTCACTAGCTTACCGGCAGCGGCTTTGCCCGCTTGATCCCTAGAGAACTGGTTATTTGGATAACGATTAATATCGAGACACTGATATTATTACAATGAAAATTGTCTAGTAAACAAATACATCATTGGTAAACAATGGTTACTATAGTAATGTTATAATTCCCTATAGAAACTTTCTCTCCCATTATCAACCCTTTATCAACCCTTTTTCGGGATAAAATGTAGGCTATGGTCACCGTTTGTGATGTCACTTCTCGTAGATGAAAGATTTTTTAAAATAGGTCCATTCGTTTCGGAAACTATTCGTTGCAAACAAACAGTTGCAATAACTTTGTTTGTCAGTATTCGAAAATTTGTCAAAAGTCAGATACCGCGATTTACTAGGACAACTAACAAAACATTTTACACATATTAAAATGCTAGTTACAAATCATACGTGGCTAATGTTTGTGTTATTTTATTCACAAGCTACCACGGCATGCGTTAATGTTATATGACAGTAATAACTAGAAACAACAGATGTTGATTATTATATTTTTGATTAATTTTGCATTCACAATGCCGTAGTGAAAATTATTCTTAATACAAAATGCTTAAAAAATCCACTTGGTCCCTGGCACCCTGAGATGGGAATCGAACCCACGACCTTTCGCAATCCGGGCGACTGCTCTAACCACTGAGCTACCTAGGACCTAACAGGACTGACGAATCTTTCAAGCACTTGTTACTTTTCGCTACTACAGAGCGTATTCTCATCAATGTTCATGCATCCACCTTAATTATCTTATATCCTTCTTCTTAATTTGACTGTATGTTTTTTTGTGCGTAACAACAGATTTATGCGACAACTCCACTAATTATTAATAAATTTTCGAAATTCTTTTTTTATCTATAGTTTAATGGGATGGGAATGGGGTTCCCTTTTCAACAAATATCACTTAATAGATGTACTGTTAATATAAGCAAAAAAAAACAAAAGACGTCTATGTTCAACGAGTATTATGAATAATACCCTCTTTGTACATAAATGATACTTTTTTATATCTTTATGTAAATATACTCTGTGTAGATTTTAAATTATAAAAAGGAAAGATTTGATTATTTGTTTGCAACGAACAGACTCCGAAACTGCTGGATCAATTTCATAACATACTATAATGTAGCTTCCAGTAGGTGAAAGTTCACCTTCTGGTAGCGACATCATATGCGATGAATATAGGTAAACGAAATCTTGAGGAGAAATAATTCATAAACACATTCGATGGATAAATAGCTACGTAAAATTATAATTACTTATGATATTATAATAAGTTACCCGAATACCTAAAGAACGAAATACCATATACTAGATTTATAAAAATATGAAATACTATTTTCATACTCGATTTATAAATACATAAACAATATTTTGGTTTAGTTTACAAAGCTATCTTGTTTACGTCCAGAAATTTTATAACGAGCGGCAATACAGCGACGCGAAATATAAGCAAGCACGGCGTACAAACCACGACTGGTCACTTGTGCCTTAAAACTCCTATAACTCCATTCATTATAACATTAGAAAAAAGAGGGTCATAGAAGCAGCAGTGCAGAACATTTTATTTTCAAGATAAATTTAAAAAATAAATATTAGAGTTTTGTTGAAACTGAATGTTAGGCAGTCTAAAAGAGCTGGGCAATTGTCAATTTTTTACGATGCCTCGGGGTTGAGTTGAGGCCGGAATTTTCTTTTAATTTTTAATTTAGTTTTCCATGTTGGCTTGGGAGTAAATTCATCTTTTAGATAGATAGATAGAATATTCTTTATTGCACACACAAAGACAATATACACTTATATGACAAAAACAGGAGACGTACAATTGGCGGCCTTATCACTAAAAGTGATTTCTTCCAGGCAACCTTGGGATGGAGTTTAATATAAAAGACCTAATGATGGGGTAGTGGACTCCTAAGCCAACATGGAACTAAAAGTAATTATCTGTTGTTTTGATAAATTCTTATTCAAAGTGTATATAATTAGAATAGAATTTAGTTATATCTATGGCCAGGAAAGAAAGGTACACAAATTGATTTTTTACGAGTATTATTACTTTTATAACATTTATTCAGACATTAGACTATTGATGAAGACATTGGAAACTTTTCCTGAAATGTCAAAGGTTAAGGGTAGGTATGAGGGCCACTCGGGCCTCCACCGGCATCGTCCATATTTAACAAAACTTAACAACAAAAATAAAACAATAACAACTTAATCACGGAAAACGGCAAAACAACAAGAAGGGCAGTAGCATTCACAATCGATGACAATCCCAGATTATGTATTTTCACAATTATGAATACATTATAGTCTGACAAAATTAAAAAGTTGTACTGCCGAAACGTTTGAAGGGATTAGGCAACGTTTTAAATTTGGTAGAGTTATAGTGACATGAGATTCGTGCCTAAACTATTCAACCCTGCTTCTTTAGTTTCTTTAAGATAAATACTTTTTATTGCACTATTTATTAAATCATTTAAGTTAGTCAAATACTCATAAATTTGTTTAATATATAGCTTAAACGACAATGGTTAAGTATAGCAGCTGGTATTTAAGTGGATATGTAGCAAATTAGCCGTCATACTTAAGAATAACATGATTATTAATATTTTGTCACAAAGTATACCATAAAAAGAACCTTATTTAACTTCTGTCTAATGCTGTAATGAATGGAGTATATAACTTCGATAATTTTGTAAGTGTGACGACCTGTGGTGACGACGCATACGCACGGGCGCGCTCGTATGCGTCCATTTTACAAACATACAAACTATTTTCGGTGCGTATGCGTGAAGAGCACTTACTCTTTGTACTCTAGCTGTAGTTATACTCATTCGATCCTTGTATTACTTCAGCTTTCTCAGGTCTCCCTATTTCTATTGAGCTATTGATAATTTTTATATGTATATTATTTCTTATGCAAGTAAATAGGTATCTTCACAACTTCTTCGTGGTTACGTGCAAATAGAAATTTCAGGCCTTTCGTTTTAAATAAAATTTATTTTATATAGATATTTAATATTTTAGTGATACCTATATAAAATATATGAAGTACCTATATAATAATTTTTAAATACCTTTCTATAAGTATCACTAAAAATAATAAAATAAAAAATTTTCAAAAATAAAACTGTATTCAAAGGAAAAAACCTGAAACATAATATATGTCATACAAGCGGTTATTATTCATTTTTTTTTAATTTGTAGTGTTCTATTTTTTGAAAATGTTTTTTCCCTAAATCAAGTTGTGTCATCACTGCATTTTTGACATAATGTTGTGAAAAGGGACAATGAACAAGTTCGTGTGATGTATACGACGTGTGGGTACTCTCAATGCTAACTGCTCCAAGCAATCATAGTAACAAGCATGGTACCTGCGCAACACATCATATAAAATGTATTTTGGTGTATCTAACCAATCAGATTTTAGAGACCATTTTCTATGTTCCCATTATACTGCGGACCACCTCATCATCAATATTTTTTTCTATGACATAAAAAGCCCTAACACCCATGGACCCACTTGGTTTGATTTAGATAAATAAACTGTTATTGCCAGGTACCTTCCACCAGTTGGGAATCACTGGTTTAGGATGACAATACATGATTAAGTTCATGTTATCTCTAGTTAATATGTTAGCCATTTCACATAATGTTACAGCAATTATTATAGTAAATTTGGCAAATCACTCACAATGTTTGTTTAGATATCTTTAAGCAGTCTCATAATATGGGCTGCTCTAAGATATGAAAATAAATAATAATTCTTTTTTAAAATTGTATTGATATACTCTTAATATCTAATACTGCCTATAGTTTTCTTTAAATTTCCAAATGGTACAAAAAGCAATGGACCCACTTTTCAGTTTACTTAAATATGCTATACCTAAAGTATGAGTATTATTATATCAACATTAGAAAAACCATTTAAGCGGAAAACTTTTTATTTTTCCAGAAAAAGAATAAGTTTCACTTCTGTTCCTATTATAACAACCAAAGTTTGTGAGGATGGATTTATATGGACAATTTTAAGCCCAAATTAACAAATAGGTTTGAATGAACTATTCAAGAGTTCTATTTATGCTATCATGTTGAATAAGATAATGAAGATTTTAATAATTAAGTTTATTTGATATTTCATACATACTTGTGTATCAAAAAATTATGGCCTATCTATCAAATTACAATATGGCCATCAGCGGTGCCAGGTGTTCAAATTCAATTTTCTCAGTTATATTCTTGGTTTTGATGTTCTCATCTTGATTAGCAATGAAGATAAGGTTGCCATCATCCCTCCAACCATACTTTTTTACCCAGTGCTTAAGAGTAACATCTGAAATGAAATTAATACAAAAGTATATCACAACTATTTATAAGATAGATACTTTTTCATTGAAAAATAATTAATGCCATAACTGCCATTATTATACCTTAACACAAATAAAACTATTGACAGTTTTTAGAAAAAAATAATTTTCTGCCATAATACATACCATCTATTCCTCCCAATAGATTAGACAAATTGACCTTATCAATGGTCTGGAAAGTTATTCCAACAACATGACAGACAAATTTACGTATTGAATCATGGAAACCAGTAATGCGGCTACAGAGTTCAGGCATTTGATGTACTCTATTCCAAAATTGTGCAAAATCACACTGCTCCAGAATATCAGCTAAGTACTTTATTTGAGAAATCGTCTCATTCTCTACCTGAAATACACATAGTTATTTTAAAGATATCAGTATTTGTTCACAATTTAAAAAACATTTTAACAGAATGGAGTGACTTACTACTGATTCAAGAAGTAAGCACTTGCAAAGGGTGAAATCTGTGTGAGGAAAATTGGTCAAAGCCTTTAAGAGAATCTGGCATGTAATATCGGGATTGAACTTTTCTGGATTGAATTGGTACAACTTCAACACAGCCAGATTTGCTTCCAAATCATAAGTGTTTTCACGAGACTGCATTTCTACATATCGCTCCAAGGTTTGAAGATTTGCTGGATTGTATCTGTAAACAGTTTTTTTAATATTTAGTTGTGCTGTAAAAAATTCAATGGTGTAGAGAACCAAAACTGAACAACTTAACCTAATTGCTTTATAATCACCTTTCAATACTTTTTAGTATACTTGCTACAGTTTGTTTCATTGTTTCTGCCATATTGTCAGAAAATTAATACAGCTCTATAATTAAAACGCAATCAATTAAAACGTTTTATTTATATAAATAAATAGGCAAATCGTGGCCACCGTATCTAACTTTAGGATTGGGCAAAAACTATCGATATGTCAAAATATCGATATTTTTAGAAAAAAATCAGAGATATTTTTTCCTGCAATAAAGCTGATGCTTTCGATATTTATTTTCAGATATCAAATTCGTATCAAAACCGATGTATTTTTTAAAATTCTGCTGTCTGCTATCATCTCTATCACATCATGTACCTATTTCTTAAATTCAGAAAAAGAGTAGGTAGGCAGTAGGCTGTATGAGCTTAGTCTATGACCTGCTTGTCTTTTTTGTTTGTCTATGACAATGACACTGCTTGTTGGTTTGGTTGGTATCACTGAGTGTGCTCCTGATGTCAATATCAGATAAATACACGTTTGTTTGAATAAACTATTTATTTTTTGTGTTGATAATGTTTATTTCTTGACTTTATGTACCTATTTTAAATAATAAAACTGATGTTTAGACATCCAGCCAGGTGTGTAGTTGCTTCAAAACTTCGAATATTTTGAAAATTTTCGTTGCTAATCGCAGAAAATATATATCGAAATTTTTTACGTAGAAAATATCGATATATTTTTTTTCGATATTTATCGATACGTATAAAAAAATATCGATACGATATATATTGATATTTTTTTCCCATGTCCCCATCCCTATCGAACTTAAATTCACAGACTTTGCTTAAATTGAACACACAGACCACAGACCAAGAAGGAGATATAACGTATTGAACATCTACTTGTTAACTTAAGTACGAGTATCAATACAAATACGAAAAAGTACAAATAGAATATGAGTTTTTTAGAGTTTTGAAAACCAGTAGGATTATCATGGAAAAATCAAGAAAGTACTGTAGCGACATCTAGTTTGATTTTGGGAATTCATTTTTTTTAATACTTCCTCATAAGTTTTTGCTTGGACGTCTAAATATTAGGCTTTTTTATCTACACTTCTAACACCAAAATGTTACGTGTTCGGGTTAAGAATAAAAAGTAACGGCAATTATATTCACAATCCGAATTTATTTAATTAACAAAAATAACTCTACAAATATAAAATATACTTCACTATTTCACTTTACAACACTAGTAGATCGTTCACCGCACAAGTATCGGGAATAGAGAAAAGTTTCTTCGCATTTTATATGGAAATTCAAAACATTTAAAAAAATATATTTATACAAATAATTTCTTTTTTACATTTATTCATTTTTACAGTACTGAAAATAAAATTAAAATCATTCAATTTCCTGATTTGAATTCAGAGTTATATTCTTTAAAATTTAAACTTTTTAAACCAACGAGATACAAATGGTGTTTCGTCACCATTCATTATTCATAAGTACATGAATTAATTTGTAAAAAAATAGAGACTTTAGTGTTTTTAATTTAAATAACTTTCAATCGATGTTTCTGTGTGGGTGAATTATAAAGGAACAAATCGCAGCCATTTTTATGAGCTGTCATGCACTCTGTGCCCGCGAGTTTTTATTTTACAAACTTGAGGGCAGTTGAACGCCATCTACAAAACGCGTAACATCGTATACTCATCTGGACGACTAAATTAAAATATTTCGAAAAATACTGGACAGTAAAGGAATCAGCCGGTGCCCAATCGAGGTGGAACTCGTCATCGATCTTCTCAAGGTACGTGGGTGCATTATAATTTGTTTCTACGTATCTTTCAACCGTATCTGAACATCGATTCCCATCGCAGACCTATCCAGGTCTGATCCAGTTGTAGTAGAAAGCCACCAATCGTTTTTTTTTTTATTTTGTGTAAGGTGCGGCTGCTACAAATGGTATAGTCAGAAAGATTGTATTACAAGTTAATGCATACTTATTCCGTCACCATAACTTATTCATAAGTATATGAATTTTAAATTGTCAAAACATATAAACTTACTAATTTTTAATATTATCATGTGATCATTATCATGACATCAACCTATTTGTATCCCCATTGCCGATTTTTTTACCGGTCTTAGGTGTTATGAACTATAGATACTGAGAGGATCAACAGCATGTCGTACATGCTACAACACTGAGAGGCTCGTGATGAGAGACAGCTGGTTACCAATATTTGTCACATTTGTTTAACAGCATCAACATAATTGTGAATCTATATTTCTGAGTTCTAATTCTGGGTCAATTGTAACATTACAAAAAATAATAAAGTTACATCAAAACAAACAAATAAAATGTGAAATTTTCCATGTTGCCAAATTAACCTCAGCTCAGTTTAAGCTACTAGGATTACGAGAGACCGACACCAAATTAATATGTTAGTTAAAAACTAGTTCTTTAATTTAAATAACTTTCAATCGATGTTTCCGTGTGGGTGAATTATACAGGAACAAATCGCAGCCGTTTTTATGAGCTGTCATGCACTCTGTGCCCGCGAGTTGGATTTTACAAACTTGAGGGCAATTGAACGCCATCTACAAAACGAGTAACATCGTAAGGGTGCATGTGCACTACACTGAATTTTCATGTCCGGCGATCCGATTTTTTCAGGTCCGATATGTCAGGCCATATGTAGGTAATGCGCGCTTGTGCACTGTCAGGGCGCTTGTGCACTACACTGAATTTTCAGGTCCGGCGGTCCGATTTTTTCCGGTCCGGAATGACATGAAAAACTCGGATGAGTAGCTTGTGCACTTGTCCGTTTTTTTCCTGATCGGAGCGGCGCAGTGTAGGGCAGCTCTCTTTGAAGCTACACGTCACTTATGCTAGGTACGATGAGATTTTTGGAACGTTGGTAATTCCGTTCGAAGACGTAGAAAGATACCTAAATAATGATCTGATCGTTTTACATAAACCATAATAAATTATGGCAAGACGAAAGCATTTTTTTTACTACTATCGGATGACTACTATCAGATGTAAAAACTTATACCCTTACTAATTTAGGAACAGCATTATTCACATACAATAGCTAAAAATATCTGACATTAGAATAAAATTACTGTACTCTAGTACTTGATGTTTAAATTTTTAAATGTGCTATTTTTTTTCGAAGTTTTGTAAAAACAACTTTCAGCGATTACAGAGATAGACCAATCAGTGGCGCCATTTCGTAAACAAATCAAAATTGATGCCGTGTTAGCGGAGAATTATTATGCTAAATGAACTTTACGAGATCAGTTGACTGTATTATATATAGGCATAATTTTATACGCGTGGTGTAGTTTCTTTGACAGAAATATTATTCCCTTAGAATACTTTTTTTTTTAATTATTAATGGCACAAAAATACATTTAAAATTTTATTAAATGCGAAAAAGACATTGAGTGTCACTTAATTACTTTTGTTAATCTTCTGTTTATTCTTTATTATTACTTCTGTTGTCAAATATTTATCTATACTTATCAATTGTTTAAAAAAAATTTGATAATGACAAATTTCCAGGCAAACTTTCATCCCCTATTTTTCGCAATAAAATGTAGCCTATGTCTACATTAAGATTTTTTTCATGTATATAAAAATTTGATAATGACAAATTTCCAGGCAAACTTTCATCCCCTTTTTCGCAATAAAATGTAGCCTAAATTAATATAGCAAATAGACTTAACTTTAAGAAAGGTCTTAAAGTTAAGTCGATTTACTATATTAATTTCCATTTAGATGGGTTCAGTTGTCTAAACGTAACAACACTTATTTATCTTACTTAAGCTATCGAAACTTTTAATACGATTCTAAAATCTAGCTAAGTATCGATACTAGAACCATATGCTGATCAAATTAGAACTATACCGAGTTTTCCAAAGCATATGCAGTGATATATACCAACTATATTAAATCATCATATAAAATATAGCATTTTATAATTAACAATAAATATCGATTATAAGTTTATTGGAAATTAACAATATTGCCGAAATAAATATCGATTATTTTTTCCCAAGCCTATTGCCGAAATAAATATCGATTCAAATCGATTATTTTTTCCCAAGCCTATTCCTTATGAATTTTCCGGATCTCGGACACAGCAGTGCACAAGCGTAAACACGTTTTTCATTGCCGCCATCACGGACCTGAAAAAACCGGTCCGGAATAGAGAAAAGTAAAATTCCGGACGGTAAAATTCCTGACAGTGCACAAGCGCGCATTACCTACATATGGCCTGACATATCGGATCTGAAAAAATCGGACCGCCGGACATGAAAATTCAGTGTAGTGCACAAGCGCCCTCAGGAATTTTACCGTCCGGAATTTTACTTTTCTCTATTCCGGACCGGTTTTTCCAGTTCCGTGATGGCGGCAATGAAAAACGTGTTTACGCTTGTGCACTACTGTGTCCGAGATCCGGAAAATTCATAAGGAATAGGCTTGGGAAAAAATGATCGATTTGAATCGATATTTATTTCGGCAATATTGTTAATTTCCAATAATGTTATAATCGATATTTATTGTTGATTATAAAATGCTATATTTTATATGATGATTCAATATAGTTGGTATATATCACTGCACATGCTTTGGCAAACTCGGTAAAGTTCTAATTTGATCAGCGTATGGTTCTAGTATCGATACTTAGCTAGATTTTAGAATCGTATTAAAAGTATCGATAGCTTAAGGTAAGATAAATAACTGTTGTTACGCTTAGACGCCTAAACAACCGAACCCATCTAAATGGAAATTAATATAGTAAATAGACTCAACTTTAAGAAAGGACATAGGCTACATTTTATCGCGAAAAATAGGGGATGAAAGTTTGCCTAGAAATTTGTTATTATCAAATTTTTTTTAGACAATTGATAAGTATAGATAAATATTTGACAACAGAAGTAATAATAAAGAATAAATAGAAGATTTACAAAAGTAATTAAGTGACACTCAATGTCTTTTTCGCATTTAATAAAAATTTTATTGTATGTCTGTGTCATTAATAAATTTTAAAAAAGAAGTATTCTAAGGGAAAAATATTTCTGCTCAAAGAAACTACACCACGCGTATAAAAATTATGCCTATATATAATACAGTCAACTGATCTCGTAAAGTTCATTTAGCATAATAATTCTCCGCTAACACGGC